GAAATTAAATTCCCCACGGAAGATATCAAATTAAAAATAAAAGTGGGTTTTTTTTAAAAAAAAGTCTGTGTTTACCCACCCCTTGGAAAAGGGCTTTTTTTAAGTTCAGTGAGGGACCGTTTTTTCTTTTTTCAAAGGCCAAAATTTCAATTTATTAAAAAGGTATGCACCCCCGCTCTGAGGTTTTTTTAAACCGGAGCCTTTCCCGCTGTGCTTTGGCCGCCCCGTGACCCTTTTCATCACCAGGCCACATGTCACCCCCAAAAAGCGGGGAGGGGGGGAGAGATTTTACAAAAAGGAGGGGGTAGCCCCGCTTTGGGGGTTAGAAATTTTTAAAAATAGAAAATTCTTAACAAAATGGGGGGCCGGCCCCTCCGTTTCCCCCCCTGTGGGTTTGGGGGACTGTTTCCCTTCCCCCACAGAACCCCGACCGGAAAAAAGGTGAGGAGGATTCTGGGAGGTTCCCCCAAAAAAATGACATCAAAAACCCAAAAAGCCCCCTGTAAACCCGACCGAGAGGTAGGGGGATTCTGGGAGGCCCCATGAAACCCCTTCAAAAAAACAGACCTGACCCAAAGGTTTAGGAAAATTCTGGGAGGTCCCCACATGACCCCAATCAAAAAAACCCCGAACCCGACCAAAAGGGGAGGGGATTTTGGGGAAAGGTCACATACCAAAAAAACACAAAAAGCCTGACTGGAGAGGGGAGGAATTCCCGGGAATCTAAAAAATGATATTCCAAATTGGGTTTCCCCCTTTCAAGATTTCCTCTTCTGAAGTCAGGGTTTTGGGGTCATATGAAACCCTCACAGTGCCTCCCGTGACTCCCCCTAAACCCTTTAAGACACAACATGGAAAAAGATTTTAGAAGTCACCAAAAGATGAGGAGCCCGCTGACAGGAGGGTGAGCGGGTTTCCGGGAATTCTGGGACAAACCCATAAAAAACAAGGGGTTGTCTGGATGGGACCTGTTTTCATTGTGTTGTCAAATTTTCCCATAAAATGTCAGGGGTCACTGCCCATTTCTCCATGGAGGAGTGGGGGTAATTTAAAAAGGACACAAAAGGGTCTCTACAAGGCGTCATGGAAAGGACAACAACCGCCCCACACAATTTTACCCGGGGAAAAGGAGACTTTTAAATTTTAAAGGAAAAGAGCAGTACGGAGGATCCACCTAGATCCCCCCATCATCTGAAAAACCCCAAAGAAACAATGGATTCAGTCAAATGTTTTGTTTTCCTTTCAGATGGTCCGTCATTGGGGAAACCCCCCAAGAACCCCCCCTTTTTCCCCGGTTCCCTTTCCCTTTTTTTTCCCGGGAAAATTCCACACAGGGAATTTTTTTCAAAAAACCCATTTTTTTTCCCTTTTTTTTCCCAAAATTTAAAAAAAAAAAAGGAGGGTTGGGGTTTCCCTTCCCAAAAAGGGGAAACCCCCAGAGAGATTTCCCCCTCCCGTATTCCCGGATTTCCCCACAGGGAAGGGCACACCCCTCCCCCACCATCAATTGGGGAATGGGAAAATCCTTTGAACATTGGAATTGTACAAGAAAAATTTTCCCAAAAAAAGTGGGGGAAATTTTTAAAGTGACCTTTTTTTTACAGATATATTTTCTCTCATTTCCTTTATTTAGAGTGGGGATTTCCAAAATTTGATATAAATTTTTAGGGGAAAGCAGAAGAAAAGAGGCGTATGGAGGATGATCAGCAGTCTATGGGGGGGAGGGTGGAATAACGGGGACATTTATAAAGGGGGACACCCTACAGAATCAACACAGGGGGGTCAAAGAACACTAAATTCCCTTTTCCCCCACCAAACTGCTCACTGATTGGCCAGATAGGGCGGGGGCTGGGGGATATTTAGCCTTAATCCCTGGTCACTTTCGACTTTTGTTTTCCCCTCCTTAAACCTGGATTTTTTCTCGGATAAATTTTTCCCCTTTTCTTTCTGGCAGACACAATTTTTGTTCCCAGACTGGATTTATTTGGGGGTTCGGGGTTCAGCCCGGGAGCAAAATTATTTTTAATCTAAGGTATGGGGGGAAATTTTGGCCCCCCAGGCCGGGGGAAGGGGGTCCCGCCCGGCCTTCTCCCAGGGCCTTCTCTGTTCTGCTGGCTGTGCCCGGGTGGAGGGATAAGGGCTGTAGTGTCCAGACCCAAGTCCAAATGAGTGCAGTCTTTAGGAGATGGGAGGCACGGTGGGGACCCCCGCAAACTTGTCTACAGAAAAATTTAAAGTGGTTTTTTAAAAACCCCCCCATATCCCCCAAGAATGGCCTCAGGTGATACACAAGATAAAACAAAACCTCCTACTTTTGTTGTACCTGTTTTTCTATAGCAATTTATTTCCCCTATATTTGTTCAAAAATCCCCGAATTTAAAACAGCTTGTCTGAGAAGTCCAAGAAAAAAGGGGGGAGGAGCTGAAGTCACTCTCTTCCCCAAAAACGTGAAGTGAGGGTCTAGGGGATGATTGGGTGGGGAAAGGGGCACACTTCCTTCCCCACCGGAACCCGAGCGAGGCGTCAATCACGGCTGTGTGCCGGAGCTCCCCCCCCCCTTGTCTCTTTTTTTTTTTCCTTGGGGTCAAGGAAAAACGGGAGAAGGACTCAACTGCTTTAAACCAGAGGAAGGGGAAAGCCCGGGAAAAAATGGCCTTATTTCCTGGATGAGCAAATACACATTTAAGGGATATTCTTTGTTCAATTCCCCTGTCTTTAGGGTTACAACCCCTGTAAGTGATCTTGATTACTAAACACCAATTTTTGTGATCCCTTTCACTATTATTAAATTTCCCCCCCCCTTTTCCCCCGAAAAGAGGTACTTTTGGGGGTTTAGTTTTTGGCTGGGCTGTACTTGGGGTCAGGGCTGATTGTATAGTTTTCACTTGGGTTTTTTTCCCAAAAATTTTGGTTGTCCTTTTTATGTTCCCCCACTGTGGCCGTAAGATGTTCCCCTGGCCCCCTTAATTTCCCCCCTGGGAAAAAAAAAGGAATTGGAAAAGGGGGGGCGGCTGCATTCCTTTTTTTTGGCTTTTTTTTTCCCCGTTTTTTCACCGGTATTTTGGCCAGTAAAAAACACCTTCTGTATTAGAACGCCCCCCACCCCCGGGGGAAAAGCAGCATGGTCCCCCTCTGGGGGGAGGGGGGTGTTTTGATTACTAGCAATAAAAAACAGTTAAATAATTGAAGCCAAACTCCAGGGTCAAACTTCATAAACAAATTCATCAAACGGTTTTTTCCTTTTTGGGGGGGGGAAGAAAATTTTGGGCCCTGAAAAAAAGATCATTGTAAGCCCCCTGTCAGTGGGGGGAATGGGCTTTTTAAAACAACAGATTTTTCTGGGTAGACAAACCCGATAAATATAGAAGAAAACTAAACTGTATAGTCCTAAATTTTTTATCCTATAAAATAAGTTTTTTACATTACATCGGGCCTTTACCCCCCCCCCCCCTCTTTTCCAAAATTTTTTTCCCCTTTCCTCCCGGGTGGACATTTTATTTTTGGAGTGATGTGTTTGGGAGCACAGACTTGTCATGGTGATAAAATGTGATAACATCCTCCAACTATGGACCCTTAAACAGAAAGTGATAATGAGGGAGGGAGTCAATACCCAATGATGGTGGTCTCAGGAATCATCCCAGTCCTTCATCTTGGTTGTACTCCCCCCAACCCCACTCTCTGACCTCTGGTTGGGCTCAGCCCCGCTGTTTCTTCATGACTAACATCATTGAGTAAATAAGGAAGTGCAATACTTCTTTGTGTTGGGAAGAATGACGATGAGTGATAGAGGGGGTGGGGACCCTCGTCCTATAATCCCCTCATCACTGTCCTCCTATAAAAGACAGTTCTGTTGTTTCCTCACTCTCTAAACTAAGGTACCATGAATAAAGAAATGACCTGGTAGGAGATCAGAGGAGCCATTTCCTAGTTCCCTTGAGGGTGGGAATTGTAAGATCCTCACCAGACACCCAAGCTGCCTGATGTGGCAGAGTCCTGGTTTGGGGGAACCAATTCACTCCTGTCTAGTAATCCTCTTTCTCTTTGTATTTAGTCCATGGCCGGCGAGATGAGGAAAAACTCTCCGAGGATTGTCTCACTTTGTCTCCAGACGGGAAAGTAGAAGATGAGGACATCACACAGTATAGTCCAGGAGAAAACCCAGCTCTCCTTTAATGTCCATCCGGAGCACCACCCAGTGTAGATGGATCATCGATTCCTTGTATTCCTGAGAACCTTCAGACTGTGCTGGACCGGGCCCGGCCTTCCAACAGGGAAGAGCTTCTCCTGTCCTGAGTGCGGGAAGGGTTTCTGTTTCTAAGTACAATCTTAAGGTGGCATAAAAGATGTCACACGACGGGGAGAAGCCATTCCCTGTCCAGAGTGTGGGAAATGTTTTTCAGACACAGTCTAGTCTTCACAAACATCAGAGATCTCACACGGGGCAAAAAGCCATATTCCTGTCCTGAGTGCGGGAAATGTTTTTCAGGCAAGTCTAGTCTTTCACAAACATCAGAGATCTCACACGGGGGAAAAGCCATATTCCTGTCCTGAGTGCGGGAAATGTTTTTCAGAAAAGTCCGGTACTTTCCAGGCATCAGAGATCTCACACGGGGAGAAGCCGTATTCCTGTCCTGAGTGCGGGAAATGTTTTTCAGTGAAGGCCGATTCTTCAGAAAACATCAGAGATGTTCACACGGGGGGAAAAGCCATATTCGGGGTAAAAGCCATATTCGTGTCCTGAGTGGGAAAGGGATTTTTTCAGTTGAAGTACGGTCTCAGAAACATCAGAAATCTCACACAGGGGAAAAGCCATATTCCTGTTTCTGAGTGCGGGAAATGTTTTTCAGATACGTCCAGTCTGTACATACATCAGAGATCTCACACGGGGGTGAAGCCATATTTCTGTTCTGAGTGTGGGAAATTGTTTTTCTCACAGACATCTGATCTTTTACAAAACATCAGAGATCTCACACGGGGAGAAGCCGTATTCCCTGTCCTGAGTGCGGGAAATGTTTTTCAGACAAGTCCAGTCTTAACATTATGTATGAATGTGTTGGATCTTAATAAAATAATTGATTTATTATATTTCTATTTGTTCTAGATTGGGAAAAGTGAGATAAACAGACTATTGTTAGTCTATGTGAATACATATGTATATGGATATATATCTTGGGTTGTTCTCTACATTCTAGTAACATGTGGTAGTAATTAGTCATGAATTGGTTAGCTGGCTTCCCTCCCCCATCTCTGTGGGGAGGAGCTAAAGTTTCACTAATAGGAGAATTGTAAGAATCTATTTCATACATGGTAAGCATACACATTTTATACTGTAATATTTCTTGATTAGGATATTTTATATATATGATATAACTTTTATATTAAGATTACTTTTTGGAGAAAATATATATATTTATATCTGTGTAGTATATATGTGTAACACATCCCATCCCCCCTGACTGATGGAAATGTCAGTGAAGTTTTGATTAGAGGTCCCAAGGATTAATTTTCAGACTCTCTTCTAGGGGAGGGGAGAAGACTGAAGGTTTGTTCACTATACATCTGTCACCAGATATTATTGTGGGACTCTAAGAACCAGAGAGGAAAAGGTGTTGCTCCTTTATAGAGCAAAAAAAGACTTTTTGTGGCACACTTTTTAGAAGCTGGGCTAAGGAGCCTACAGATTCACAAAAAACAATTTTACATACAATTTTTATCTCAAGAACATAACTATATTTTTTGGTCATTATCTAAACATTCTGAATTCCAATATTTTATTTCTAATTGTACGCAATATTATTATTAAACACATTTTTGAGTTTATGAAAGAGTTGGAAGGACTTTCTATTTTGGACTTTTCTCATCAATACAAGTTTTTAAGGTCTTTTTTTTTTTTTTTTCCAAAAATAATTTTATTGGGAAAGTTAAGGCAGATCAATGTATATACAAATATGGATTACAGTGCGAACATAGACACCATATGCAGCATCCCGTTTTGCAGACGGGCGATGGGCTTGAATTGTAGTACAAATGGAGGTGAAGTATATCTTTATATCAAAGGTGTATAGCAAACCAGCAGATACAAAGTATAATAGATAAATCGTTATAGGTATATTAATTACTGACCTATCTACTTGTAAGCCCTTATGTTCAGGGAATGTGAAGTGCTGGGAAAGAATAGCACATGGTGATGTGTGCATTATGATTTGTGTGCCCATGTAGGGAGGGTGTGATCCACATGAAATTAGTCACACCTGTATGAGAGATTAAATGCTCGTTGGGGATATATGAACGATGAAAGCGTACAAAAGGTGTGAGATAAAGAGAAGTCAGAGAGGTGAATAGATAGAAGAAGAGATGTTGTCAGGAATGGACTCTCGCCAATAGTGGTGGGACTCACCTGCCTTGTGGGTTGCAGTACCAGGGCTGGCCAGCGGGTGCTCTCAGCAACCAGAGGCTCATTCCTGCAATCAGCCAAAACACCTGAGGCTGATTGCAGGAGGTGCATATAAGGAATGGCCAGACCTGTAATCAGGGCCTTGGTGTATATTGCCCATGAGCCCCTGTCTCTTGTTCCTGATACCTGTGTTCCTGTAGTACGTTCCTTGTTGCTGACCCTGCCGTTCTGATCTATGCTGACATTCTCCTGCTCTGACCCCCGGCTCGTCCCTGACTATCCTTCTGCCTGATCCTCTGTACCGTGCTGCCCGTGAGTTACTGAACCCGGCGTGTGACCTGACTACAGTGTGAACTGTCTGCTGCTTGTACCGTGCCTGTCCCCACCGTTACTGACCCGGCTAGCCTGACCAAGCTCGCTCCTGACTGTCATCCATACATCCCATCCCGCTCGGACCTGGACCTGCCAGCACTCTCTACCACAGCCGGATGCACTCAGGGGTCGCGACCTGGTTCCAGTCTGCACCAAGTCCATCCCCACCATCAGGGGCCCTGGTGAATAGCAGGCTGGGACTTAGACCCCGTGCCCTGAGGAAATCCATGCTGTGGGCTTGGCCTGCCTGACCACTCCACCTCTCCAGCCCTGACTGCACTGTGTACCTATTGATTAGTTTTGTTTGCACTGTGTTTGTTTATTTGTGCAGCTAATAATAAATATTATTATTATACCATATCTGAAGCCTGTGTTTCCCTGTGTCAGTCCACACACCTCTGGTCATACCTGGAGTCCTGACAGATGTAGAGTGAGGTAGTAGGGGAGAATATGAGGTAAAAAAAGGGGGGGGGGTGAGAATGGGTAAGGAGTAGAGGGGATGTTAGAATGGGTAGCTGCAGATAAAATAAAATCACATTGTTGTATATGAGCCAGAAAGATAGCTATGTAGCTTAGGATTTAATATGTGGAAGATCATTTAATGGGGCAATATGTGGGTCAAGAACCTGAAAGGTAGGTTATGATGATGTGGAGTCTCAATCCATCTAAATGTGCATGAAATGTGTCGCTGGTGGATAGGGAGTCTTTTGAGATAACATTGTGTCCAATTATTTAACCAGGGGGTGTAGGCAGTTCATGCGATAATAGGCGATAGGTAGTGGTGGTTTTGAAATGACTCCAACAAGCCCATGTCTTCCTGAATCTCTCGGGATGTTCTTTTGCTACAGAAATCAATTCCTCCATTTCCTCAATTTTGTTGATCCTAGCAAACCATTCCCGAATAGTGGGGACATGTGTTGAGCACCAGTGGACTGGGATACATTGTTTTGCCGCGTTTACCATGTGCATGGTGAGTGTCAGGAATGGACTGGCCAGTAATGGTGGGACTCACCTGCCTTGTGGGCTGCAGTACCAGGGCTGGCCAGCGGGTGCTCCCAGCAATCAGAGACTCAACCCTGCAGCCAGCCAAACACCTGAAACTGCTTATGCAGGTGTATTTAAGTGATGGCCAGACCTGCAGTCTTTGCCTTGGTGTGTGTGTTTTTCCTGGGCCCTGTATCTTGTTCCTGTTCCTGTCTCTGATTCGTTGCTGACCCTGCCTGATTCCGGACCTCTGCTTCTTCTCCTGTTTGATCCCTGGCTTGTGACCCCGACCATTCTCTGCCTGCTCCTCCTGTTCCTACCTGCCCGATTGTTATTGACCCGGCCTGCCTGACAACGCTTGCATTGTATGTATTGTTATCTGTGGGTGGTTTGGTTTGGTTCGTTTGCACTGTGTTATGTTTTAGTATTGCACTGCGTTTATGTTTGTATTGTTAGTCTTTAATAAATTGTCTTATTGTTTATAACATATCTGAATCCTGCGTTTCCCTGCGTCGGTCACATACCTCTGGTCATACCCCGGAGCCCTGACATTACACCAAGGCCAATCCTGACCAGAAGTGGCTGCACAGGGAAGCCATCTTGGCTTGTTGCTGGGAAGGATGGATCTTGATGAGGTTGTGTATTTATATCTGCTAGTGTTTGATGACAGGGAGTATGCTTATCAAACTCTGAGGGAGTATCCCCGGGATCAACTGCTAGAATGTATACGGATCGCTCATGTTCTAGTAGATCAGGGCACAGAATTCTCTGAGGTGCAGCCATTGATTCAGGTTTGTGCTGAGTTGGTTTCATCTGGTACCCCCGATGCAGGGATGAATTTTTGCCACCATTTAGTGCAGACCAGGTAGAGTCCCTGGTATGGTTATTAGAGGATGATGTGGATTACTTCTTGGAGCGTTATTCTGCGTGTTCACCACAGGTATACTAAGAGATTGTATAAACGCAGTGCAGTCTTTGGTCAGACAGGCTTTGTGTAAGCTGAGCTTTGTTCAACCCATACTGCAGACATGGTCAGACTTGTTGCACCCAGCCTCAGTCAGTTTGCAAAAACCCAGTCCTGCTTCTAATCTATTTCTTCAAAGCTCTATTCCTGCTTTCCCAACAGCACCTCCAGTTACAGCCCAGTATACCCTGCTATCTACCGCATGTCAGTACCCTCTGCTCCCACTCGCTGCACCTATCCTGCCTTTAACCCTGTAAAGAAGCCCTCTGTAGCAACTGTTCCCTCCCCTGTTCCATCCTCCAGCTCTTCTCTGTCTCCAGCTGCTCCATCCATTTACAAACCTGCGCTTACTTACAGTACTCCGGTAACTAAAACCAGGAAAAAGGCGAAAGTTCTTTCCAACCAATACCATCCTGCCAGTATCCAAACCGGTCAGCCTCCCATCTGAGAACCTGCCTTCCATGGTGCAGCCTGGTGCCTCGGCACCCACAATTCAGCCTGATGCCTCCATTCAGCCTGATGCCTCCATTCAGCCTGATGCCTCCATTCAGCCTGATGCCTCCACTCAGCCTGATGCCTCCATTCAGCCTGATGCCTCCACCCAGCCTGATGCCTCCACCCAGCCTGATGCCTCCACCCAGCCTGATGCCTCCATTCAGCCTGATGTCTCTACCCAGCATGATGTTTCTATCCAGCCTGATGAACTGATCCAGCCTTATGATCCTATTATGCCAGACGACTCGGTGCCCGCTGTTCCGCCAGTTGACTCGGTGCCCGCAGTCTTGCCAGACGACTCGATGCCCGCTGTTCCGCCAGTTGACTCGATGCCACTGTTCCGCCAGTTGACTCGGTGCCCGCTGTTCCGCCAGTTGACTCGATGCCCGCTGTTCCGCCAGTTGACTCGGTGCCCGCCTTTCTGCCAGTTGACTCGGTGCCCGCAGTCTTGCCAGACAACTCGGTGCCCGCAGTCTTGCCAGACGACTCGGTGCCCGCAGTCTTGCCAGACGACTCGGTGCCCGCAGTTCCGCCAGTTGACTCGGTGCCCGCAGTTCCGCCAGTTGACTCGGTGCCCGCAGTCTTGCCAGTTGACTCGGTGCCCGCAGTCTTGCCAGACGACTCGGTGCCCGCTGTTCCGCCAGTTTGACTCGATGCCCGCTGTTCCGCCAGTTGACTCGATGCCCGCTGTTCCGCCAGTTGACTCGATGCCCGCGGTCTTGCCAGACGACTCAGTGCCCGCAGTCTTGCCAGACAACTCGGTGCCCGTAGACTTGCC